TCTGAAAACAAGGCATTTTATAAATACCGTATCTTAAAGATTATCCTGGGAGGGCCAACACTGAGCTTTTTGGCTGCCATCTTTTCATTTTTCTTCATCCCATTGGTAAGTTTCCCTTGAATTAGAACAGTGTTCCCCAAATGGTGTACCGTGATATTCGGGGGGGGCTTAAATCTAGTGACTGTGCGAGATGCTTTTGCTCTGCGTTGAAGGTCTATGCATTGGAATACCTGGGTAAGAGGCATTGCTTTGAGATTTAACTGTGACCCTGGAGGAATTTCAGTATCCATGTTAGCCCTGAAAGCAGATAGATACACGACCCTTTTGTATGGTTGGATATTATGGTAAAGATTTGTATGGCAAATAAATGTAATTTTAAAAATTAGTGAGATATTCCCAGATTAAATTTAGGCACTAATGTAAATGCAGATTTGAACTCAATTCATAAATCAAATAATCAGCTATACTGGCTTGCCAGACCATTCATGTTTATAATTCAACTACTAAAAGTCCTGTTACCGTAACTACAAAATAGCTGACCGTGGGAAGAGAATCTGTATAACAATCTCTTGAATTTTATTCGTTTGTTAAGGTAAACTGTGACAGAGGTATAAAATCCAGAAAGTTGCTTATGGACTTTTAAAATAGTAAAACATTTATATATTTATATTTCAAATGTGTCACCGCCCATCTCACCAAAGAGTGACTCTGGGTGGTTTACAGTAAAAACAGAACATTAATTAAAATAGATAAATATTAATTAATTCATTAATTAATTATGCCAAAAATGACAAAATGGCATTAAGCATGCTGCCATGCTTACACACATCGTATGTTAATAGTATCAGACCTTTAAAAGGAAGAATCATAGGGGGCAGAGTCTTGCTTTTTCAGAATATTTCCAAACCTATTAGCAATGAGGTCCCTATGGAAATTTAAATTGCACTTAATATTATCTTCCCAGATTGGGTTCGTGAGAAAATAGACCTTCTGAATAGGAACAGACATCAGGTTTGCGCAATGCTAATTGCTAGCCTGCAGGCCAGGTACCAAACTATTTCTTCCACATAAAGCACATAAAGTCAGCTGGGGAGAAAATAAATAAGTAAATGTGAAAAGCCAAACACTTGAGCACATAGTTGCTTGGAGCTGGATGGGCGAAGACAACCAAAACCAAAGCCAATATTTTGCCTGAATTCTGAAGAGAGACCAATGCAGCGATAGCATAGCTAACTGTAACAGCAAAGAGCAGCTAGATCCTCTCCTGAAAAAGTCTGCTTATGGATGTGTGATCTCACAAGATCACATACTTTATTAGGAACTGACATCCTGTCATTGGGTGTGAAAAAGGATAGGAATTTTCCAGAAACACAGTCGCTGTTCTGTAAATTTCAGTGATGTTTATTGTTGCTTTGAGGTAGATCATTTGTGTGCATTTCCAGTATAGCTGGTGATCTTAGTGTAACAAAGTACACACATATGAAGATTCTTGATGTCTGTGGCACATTGAGCCTGGTTTTGGCACACAGAACAACCCCCAAACCCCTTTAACTTTGACCTTTAATCCTTAGACCATTCCATTATCCCATGTCCATCAGGGCAACTCATCCTGCCATACAATGTCAAGAGGAAATGAGAATGTAGGTTATAATATAACCAATATAATTAATACAATATAACCTATGTAATATAACCGCCCAGAGTTGCTGGGAGTTGGGCAGCATATACATTTAATAAATAAATGCATAAATAATGATACAAGTGATTTATGGTATAGTGTATACAGTGCTGTATGTGTTGCAGTATACAGTGTTTCTGTTCAGCATTCCAACAAGCCAGTCACATCCTCTTCCAGGAGAATTAATTACTGTTCTGCACCCATTGAGCACACTTAGTCTTTCTGACCTGTTTTAATGGTAGCATTTTGAAAATCTTAATGTTCCCTGCCCCCCCCCGCCCAAGAGTTTTTGTACTATTTCAGACTTGGAGTTGTTCCAAACTTGTTGATGCCTTCCTTCATGCGAGAATAGTTCTGTTCTGGCTCTATAAAGCCTTTGAAGAGCACCCTTGCTATTAATTTGCAGGATTCTTAATGAGTTACAAGATACAAGAAGTCACCATATTATTATATTGGAAAGATTTATTTTTTATGCAGTCTGCATAAAAAAAGCAGGTGTCTTTGTCAGGATATGCTTAAAGATGTCCATATGCACATGGAACTGCTCTGTTAAGAGTCCTGTGCAAGGAATTGTGAAGATACGTGACACTTAATTGCCATCCTTCTTCATTGTGATAAAGCATTAATTGAAAAGTGTGAACTTGGACTTAGTGCTGTTTTTCCTCTAAAACCCACTGTTAGAGAAAAGTCAGCTTCCTGGAGTCCTTTATTTTAATAATGGAAGACACAGCACAGGATTAGTACAGCAAATGGAAGTGTAGCCTTTTCTACTTGTTTTTTTCTAGCCTGTTATTGCAAAAACATACAAACATACAAAAACATACAAGATTCCTTGCAGTAAATGTCTCTGTTTCCTTGCAGTCATACATGTTTCTTGGGTTCGTCGTTTTTCTCCCACATCTCAGCCATCTAATCAAATGGTTTAAAAGAAGAGTTCTTGGTGAGTGTTGTTTATAAAGCTTTTCAAAATCCCAAGGGAAATTTAAGAACCAGACAATCTATACCCACATTACCATCATCCAAAATGAGTAGTAGTGCAAAATAGCAAAGACTATAAATAATGACTCAAACAGAAAAGGAAAAGAAAAGGAGCACATGTTACTTAAATATAAATGTTTTGGGTCAGTCCTTTTCCCTGGATAGTTTCCTGTTCCTCTCAGTAAGATCCCTTTCACAAGTTTGTCAGCTTTGAAGTGAAATGTTTGTGAAGTCTTTGGTGCTCTCTGAATATGCTTGCAGATGTTTCATTACCCAATTAGGTAATATGATCAGTGCGAGTGAGGGTGGGATTTGCTCCCTGTTTATATACAGTGGCTTGCCCTACCAATGTTGGTGGGCGTGGGGTTTTCTCCTTGATAGTTCCTTGATTGGGTATTGTCTTCTGCTTGACTGATTGTTTGGTGTTAATCCCTGCTTATCTGGGTGTTGGCTGCTGGAGGGGATGTGTTCTGGTCTTTTTGTTTCCTTCTTAGCTTTTTGTTGTCTCTTTTGAATAGTGTGTAAATATGGTTTATTTCTATGAGTCTATTGATGGCTGATTTTCCTCCTGCTGCTGATGAGGTACGCCCAGCTGAGGCAG